ATCTCTTCTAGCCAGTTGACCAGGCATCTGTAAACATCTGTACCCACTCGTATACTCTTTTGCCTGTGCTAATCCGTATGTGCTCAAATGCTCATTAATAGATTGGTTGTGCTCGATACATCCACAATCTTGTTTCCATCACCAAAAATGCCTGTCACTGCTTCATGAAGCATACTTTCTTCACTCTTCTTTTTATTTGTTTTTAAGCATCTAAATTTAATAGATGGTATTAGATATGTGCTTATTTGACACGTAATGTTTGGTTGGTTGTGTTTTTGTGATATCAGTAGCCATTGATGATCATTTATATTTATTACATTTTCATTAGCCACATTCATTTTTGGTGAATATTTTGCTTCATATATAATTCTTTTTATTTTTTAAATTTATTTTCTTTCATTATTTTTTGTGTGTACCATCAAATCAGATCTGATGGTACAGGAGGAGATTGTTCCTCCTTCTCCAGCAGAGCATCTGGTGGATTTGAACCAGCAGTAGTTGCAGCTTCTTGCCACATAAATAATTCTTAAGCTGAAGGAGTTGAAAAACAAATTCAAGCCACGGGTGTCAATACTTAAGAATAGTTTGTGTAGAATGTTAAATGATCCAGGATGTATAAAAAGAAGATGGAAGGAGTACACAGAGTCACTGTATCAGAAAGAATTGACTGACAGAGGAATTTCATGAAATAACATATGAGCAAGAACCTATGGTGATGAAGGAGGAAGTTCAAGTTGCTATGAAGGAATTGGCAAAAAACAAGGCTTCAGGAGTTGACTGCATACCAATTGATTTATTTCAACAAACAGACGCTGCCCTGGATGTGCTCACTAGGTTGTGCCAGGAAATCTGGAGGACAGCCAGCTGGCCAACTGACTGCAAGAGATCGATATTTGTTCCCATTCCAAAGAAAGGTGACCCAAGAGAGTGTGGAAATTATCAAACAATATCATTGATATCACATGCACGCAAGATTCTGCTGTAAATTATCCAAAAACGTTTGGAACATATGTCAACAGAGAACTGCCAGATGTGCAGGCTGGATTTAGAAGAGGTCCTGGTACTAGGGATATTATAGCTAATGTTAGATGGATCTTGGCAGAAAGCAAAGAATACCAGAAGAATGTCTCTCTGTGCTTCATTGATTATGCAAAGGCTTTTGACTATATGGATCACAACAAGCTATAGCTGACTCTGAGAAGAATGGGAATCCCAGAATATTTGATCATGCTAATGCGAAACCTATACTTGGACCAAGAGGCAGTCGTCAGAACAGAGCAAGGACACACTGGATGGTTCAAAATCAAGAAGGGGTTCAGTCAGGGATCTATTTTGTCTCCATACCTTTTCAATCTGTATGCAGAACAGATCATCCGAGATGCTGGGCTGTACGAGGAGGAATGTGGCATCAGGATTGGAGGAAGAATCGTCAACAACCTGCATTATGCAGATGACACAACCCTGCTTGCTGAAACTGAGGAGGACCTGAAGTGCTTGCTGCAGAAGGTCAAGGACTTCAGTCTTCAATATTGATTGAAGCTCAATAGCAAGAAAACAAAGATTCTCACCACTGGGCCGATTGGCAGCATCAGTATGGATGGTGAAGAGATTGAGATAAGAGATAGTTAACAGTTTTAGTTTGCTTGGCTCCACAGTCAACACTCTTGGTAACAGCAGCCAGGAAGTCAGGAGATGAATTGCATTGGGAAAGTCAGCTGTGAGCGACTTCTCAAGAGTACTGAAGTGCAGTGACGTTAGGCTGGAGACTAAGGTGCACCTGATCCAGGCTATAGTCTTTGCAGTTATGTGCTATGCATCGGAGAGTTGGACAGTGAATAGGGATGACAGAAAGAGAATTGATGCCTTTGAGCTGTGGTACTGGAGAAGAGTGTTGCATATACCATGGACAACTAGGAGAACAAACAGGTTTGTCCTGGAGAGGGTAAAGCCGGAATGCTCCATGGAGTCAAGGATTCTGAAGCTTTGTCTGACATATTTTGGGCATGTTGCAAGGAGGGACTGGCCCTTGGAGAGGGACATCATGCTTGGGAGAGTGGAGGGACGGCGCAGGAGAGGAAGACCCTTAATGAGATGGATCGATTCTGTGAGTGGAGTGGTGGGAATGAATGTGTTTGAGACAGCGAGGTTGGCACGGATAGAACAGTGTTTAGGGCTCTTGTACCATAGGGTCGCTATGAGCTGCAAATGACTCGATGGCACATAACAACAACAGCAACAACATATAATTTTAGATTAGTAGAGTTTTTCTTCATTGTGTTCTGGCTCCCACTTTTCATAATTTCCTGTCAGTTGTCCTTTGGAAGTGTGTGTCCCTCAGTGCCCACACTTGTCCCCCTAATCCCTGGGTAGTTTTGAACTTCATGTTTGTCGCTGGTTTAGGTATGCAGGCCTATCCTGTGGCGTACACAGCCATAGTTAAATGTAGTGCTTCTTGATTCTGTGTCCTAGAGCTCTTTGACAGTGTCAGGTACCCTTCACTTGTTGAAAGTTTGCTTTTATGAAAAGACTTACATTAGTACCTATTTTCACTAAGCTAAAAGAAAGCTGAAGAGGATTTTTGCTTTTACAAATAATGGCAAAAATTGAAACTAGCCTTGATCTTTTGTTTTTCAGTAAGTCATTATAAGAGATAGCTCACACTTCAGGACTGGGGACTGGCTTTGCCATGTTCCCTCTCTGAAAACTACTCTACGCATCTGAGCTTCAAGCCACCATACCTTTTGAATGGTGTCTGTGAACACTGTACTTTACGGCTGTGCTAGATTTTATGCATTGTTTGAGATTCTGTAAGTTACTGAGTGTGGCAATGCTCAAAAACTTTCCCCATGTACAGGAATGGTACTGCTTCGTGGCTAAATTTGCCAGTTTGAATTAGTTTTGTTTTCTCTTCTAATCGCAGTTCCTCATTTCCTCGGATTTCTAATACATAAATATGCTGTTGTTGTTGATTGCCTTCGAGCAAGGCTCATAGGAACCCTATGAACAAAAGGCCTGAAGCCTTTCTGTATCTAATGACCTTAATCAAAGTTCATGGAGTTTCTGGAGGCATGTTGTTTAGGAAGTGGATGCCATACCTTCTTCCAAAATGCGCGCGCGCACACCCCCCCCCCCCCCCCCCCCCCCCAATCTGTTACTCTGTTCCTTATTATACTTTTCACATTCCTCTTGTTTTTAAATTTCCGTCCTTTTGTCATTGTACACTTAACTGGGATGTTTTATTTTGACCTTTATTCAGACTCACTATTTCTTTTTGTGGTTATTTTTGCTGTTTCTGCTGTGCTATTAAGCTTGTCCCTTGATTTTCTTAATAATTGTTTGTTTCTATTCTCTAACTTTTTCTTTTTTTTTGCCTAGAATTGTTTGGGGTTTTTTTGTTCAATTCTGTTATTAATTTGACTTTTTATGAGCGTGTTTAGTTCTCCAAATTGTCACTTATTTCAGTTGTTTTAATTTCTATTCTTGATAATTCCTCTATTTTGTTCTCCTGCGAATCTTTTCTGTTGTTAATTTTCTTCTTTGAGTTTTGACTATTTACTGCTTATTTTTATGGAGGGCCAGAAGTTGAATATGAAAGTGTTGGGAAAAGTGTGTGTTTCAAAATGATTGTTGTAGAGACTTTCGTCATGTACTAGAAGAATAAACAGGAATGGGAGAAAAGGGAACTAGGAACAGTCAGATGAGAGAGCCCTTGTGAGTCTTAACAGAGAAGGGATTGAGGGGAAAGAAAAATGAGCTGAAGAAAAATGAACATCCGGAAGAAGAGAGGAAGACAGCTGCGTGGACAGGAAGTTGGGATTTAAAGAGATCTTACCATTTTAAAGAGAAAGAATTCAAAGTAAAGCCTTATGAAGTGAAATTAATATAACCATTTGTGAGCGTAGATTAGGAATCAGTCACGTGGGATGGAAAAATCTAGGTGAGTCTTCATGGGAAATGGGGTACTAAGTTAAATTTTCAAAGAATCAACCATTCAGTAAATGGTGAAGAGAAGAAAGGGGCTTTGAAGATGTCTGGTAATTTATACCTTTTTTAGTTCTTCCACTTTAAAATTCCTTTTTGGGCTAATTGGTCTGAAAATGATCAGCATTGTGGGAGAAGTGGTGGGGTGAGCCACCATGCTGCTGTCACAGGCTGTGCAGACTGACTGGGGTCCCGCAGCCAGTGAACAGTTGGAGTCCTTGCTGTTTTGTGTCAAAACCCTTAAGTCAAGTGAGCTTTCTGTAACCTTTTGGGGATGTGAGACCTGCCAAGCCTACCTCAAAGGTGTTTTGTAATGATTTAATGAAGTATTTACAAAACCAAAAACCCAGTGTTGACTGACAGCGACCGTGCTGAATCCTCTATGCCCGCCCTGCTCTCCTCCTCCCAGGCTTTCTAAGGCTAGGATCTTTATCAGACAGCCACATCTTTCTCCCTCAGTTTCTGATGAGCAGTAACCAGAAGCCTTTTAGAAGGATGGCACTTCAACCATCATACCACCAAGATTCGGAAAAAAACCCCAAAAAGATGCTAGTCAAGTAACTGTTGGAGAAGTACATTATTTATGATTACACTAAAGAAAACAAATTATCTAGAACTTAGTATGGGGGGGTGTGTGCATGCATATATATGTATATACATGGTTCAGTCATATAATTTATGTTAAGTAAAATTGATGACAAGTTCATGTGTGAATTCATCACCTGCATCAGAATTTGGTGCTGCGTTTTTCTGCCTAAGCGCTTGTGGCTGCATTTTCCATATCATTGAGAAAATGAAGTTTCTTTTGAAAAAGGAATCAAAGCAAATGAATTGCCACATTATGTAAATTTTGTTTTCTGTTTTGCTGTTGGAAAAAATTTGAACCTTGTAGATGTTGGCTATTATGTCATTTGATTGAGAGCAAAAATAAAGATCCAAACCCTAAAGGATTCTTATAATTGATAGACAAAAAATATATTAAAAATTTACTTAAACTAAGATTGTTTTTCTTTCTCTAGGCAAAATTTGGTTTCTCTAATATTACGGGAATTGATTACTGTCCTTCTGCAATACAGCTTTCTGGACGCATTATTGAGAAAGAAGGTTTATCCAACATTCACTTGAAGGTAAATTTCTGTTGTTACTACTTTATTTTTAAATGAGAATTTTAAAGTTTAAGTGTTCTTCGAGTATATTAATTACTGGATTCTTTTGAACTCCTATCAGTAAGGATTATTCGCAAATAACCCAAACTGAAACATTTTAAGTAATGGTGGTTGACTTGAGAAGAAGTGAATTCCTTTCTGGGCCTGAGTGTGTGCTCTGTACTCCCTCCTTTTCCTTACTTCTTCCCCCACCTTCTCCCTCCTTTGCTGTCTTCCTGCTTCTCTTTTTTCCTCATTTCCTTTCTCTCTCCTCTTTTTTCTCCTTCTGTTGCCACTCACTCTCTCAGTGTGGAAGCACACACAGATAGTACTTAACTATGGATTAACCACATGAAAAAGTTTTTAAGGCATCAAGTGGTATGATGCCACCAGAGATTTGTTTATTTTTGTGTCCTAATACCTCCCATGGGAACTCTGGTGGTCTTGGGAGCTGTGCTGCCACCCCAAAAGGTGGCATGTTTCTGGTGGTTGAGTCCCCCAGTGGACTCTGCAAGAGAAAGATGGGCAGTCTCCTCTCATGCTATTTACAGCCCCTGACAACCTGCTCGAGGGTCAGCTATAAGCTGGTTCCCACTCAGCCCCTGTGAGAGAGAGAATAGCTGTTATTCACAGGGTTTGCCATGAGTCATGGTTAATGTGATGACCCTAACAACAACAGCAACAAAAGCACTATCTGTGAGCTTTGGTGGTTTAGTGCATACAGGGTTGAATCCAAAACTTCGCAGTTCAAATCTACCAACCATTGCCTGGGAGAAAGGTGGGACAGTCTCCTGTAAAAATTTGTGACCTTAGAATCATGATGGAGGGTCACTAAGAATTAGAATTGACTTGGTGGCACTACTGGATCTCTGAAGAGAGGCCTGAACTTGTATTAGTTCAAGCCTCCGCTTTTTTTTTTTAAATAAAGGCCTGTACTCTTAACTTTCAAATCATGTCAAAACCATTATTCTTCTACACTTTAACTGGGATGCTCAGTAGTCTTTCCATTTAATCAGTCCACAGGAGACCTGGTTTCTCCTCAGTGGCACTGCCGTTCACTCCACAAAAGCCTGGAGCCATACTTGGTTCTTCTTTTCTTGAAATCCTAGATTCAGTTCTGTTGGAGTTCTTTTTCAGTTGTGATTAAGTATAAATACAGCAAAACATTTGCCATTTCAACAGACTTCCCATGTCCAGTTCAGGGGCATTGAATATGTTCTTCAGCTTGTTCAGCCAGATGTTCTCTCTCCCTTCCCACGGTGCCCTTCTGTTGGTTCTCGCTTTAGCGCACAATGGAAACGTGAACGTTCCTTCATGTTTCTGCTGCTGCCTCCCGTGCCCAAGCCACTCTTAACTCTCACATTATTTCTTATCTAGAGTATTACAGTATCGTTTTCGTTGATCTGCCTGTTTCTTCTCGGCCTCCTCTTATTGTCCATTTTCGCTGGGCAGCCAGAACCAAGCCTTTGAAGTGGAACTCAGATTTTGTTCTGTCCGTGTTCTTAGTTCTCCACTGCATGATTCCTTTCCTGAGGCACTCAGAATAGACACAGCCTTCCAGATTCAGTGTCCTTTCTCCCACCTACCCTGGCTACATTGTCCTTTCTGTTCCCACTTCTCCTCTATTTATCCAGTCTAGAATATCCAGGGCCTGTATTTTAACTTAACTCATTCATCAGCAGAGAACTGCCAGAAGTCCAGGCTGGGTTAGGAAGGGGTCGTGGTACAGTGATATTGTAGCTGATGTTAGATGGATCTTAGCTGAAAGCAGGGAGTACCAGAAGAACGTCTATCTGTGTTTCATTGATTATGCAAAGGCGTTTGACTGTGTGGATCATAACAAACTGTGGCTGACTCGGAGAAGAATGGGAATCCCAGAACATTTAATCGTTCTAATGCGAAACCTATACTCGGACTAAGAGGCAGTAGTCAGAACAGAGCAGGGTAGCACTGCATGGTTCAAAATTGGGAAAGGTGTACGCCAGGGATGTGTCCTATCTCCATACCTTTTCAACCTGTATACAGAGCAGATTATCCAAGAGGCTGGGCTCTATGAGGAGAAGTGTGGCGTCAGGATTGGTGGAAGATTTATTAACAATCTGCATTATGCAGATGACACAACCCTGCTTGCTGAAACTGAGGACGACCTCATGAACTTGCTGCAGAGGGTCAAGGACTGCATCTTTCAATATGGACTGAGTCTCAATGTCAAGAAGACAAAGATTCTCACCACTGGACCAATTGGTAGCATCAGGATGGATGGCGAAGAGATTGAGATTGTTCGCAGCTTCAGTTTGCTCGGCTCCACGGTCAACACTTTTTGCACCAGCAGCCAGGAAATCAAAAAGCGTATCGCGATGGGAAAGTCTGCTGTTAGGGACCTCTCTAAACTACTGAAGAGCAACGGTGTCTCTCTGGAGACTAAGGTGCTCCTGATACAGGCTATGGTCTTTGTAATCACTTTTTATGCATCAGAGAGTTGGACAATGACTAAGGAGGATAGAAGGAGAATTGATGTCTTTGAGCTGTGGTGCTGGAGATGAGTATTGAATGTACCCTGGACTGCCAAGAAAACAAACAGATTCAACCTGGCGAGGGTTAAACCAGGCTACTCCTTGGAGGCAAGGATTCTGGGGCTTTGTCTGATATATTTTGGACATGTTGTAAGGAGAGACAGGTCCTTGGAGAGGGACATCATGCTTGGTAGGGTGGAGGGACAGCACAGGAGGGAAAGACCTTCAGTGAGGTGGGTTTATTCAATGACTGGGGTACTCGGGATGGGTGTGTCGGAGTCAGTGCGATTGGCACAGGATAGAGCAGGGTTTAGGGCTGTTGTACATAGGGTCGCTATGAGTCGCAAATGACTCGATGGCACATAACAACAACAACAACAACATTCTTATTAATATTCAGTTTGCTATTAAAATACTGCCTTCTTTCCCCATCTTTTTACTTCTCTAGAAACCACCCATCTCACTCTCTTGTATGTATCTTTTCTAATTAAACTATCTTTGCTTTCCCCCTCAAAACACCCCCCCTTCCTTAGACCTTACCTAAATATTTCTTTTTTCTTCACCTCTTAAAAATGTCTTTAATTTTTTATTATACTAATTTACTTAGAAAATTCAAATATATTGTTTTTCAGACCAGATTCTCTGAATTTCCCTCACCCCCTCATCAAATTGTACAACCCCAAGATTAATCCCCCCACATCCTCATCCCTCTGCTTCCACCCTCCCCCCTGAATCCTCATACTCATTCTATAATAATGGTTTTAGGTAATACCTAAATATTTCTTAACACATTTCCTAAGTATTTTTCTTCTTGTTAGTCTTTCTCCTTATTTTCTTCATCACACTGTATTTGAAATGATTTGTTGAGCTTGTTATTGTCTGTTTCTCTGTTTATAGGCTATAAGGTGTATTTTCACCTGAGGACTTTTCTGTTGGGTTTGCTCTTGCTCCTGTTAGGTGTATGGAGTCAGCTCTGACTCAAGTGAGCAATGCTGTGGCAAATGAAACACTGCCCATTCCTGTGCTGTCCGGCCATCATTGCTGTGTTGAGCCCATTACTGTGTCAGTCCAGCTTATTGAGAGTTCCTTACAGTCTTATGTTTCAGTGCTGGGAAGCACCTTCTGTGAGGAGCGCTCAGGAAGTGCTTGTTGGATAATGAGCTGAGTGCTTGTTGAATAAATGAGGACTTCTATACGAGTGTTTAGGATGACGTAGCTGCTTCAATGGTCTTCTGTGTGGCTGTTTTGTTATTTTCCTTCAAATATAATACTGTGGCTAAAAAGAGGGAGGAAACTATTTTCAAATGTAAATAAACATAAAACTAAAATTTTTAAGTCAAATAAGGTATTTAGATTATATACTGTTTTGGGAGCTCTGGTGGCAAGAAGCTGCATTGCAAACCGGAATACATATTCAAGGCCACCAGTTGCTCTGTGGGAGAGGAATGGCAATCTCCTCCCATGCAGTTAACTGCCTCTGAACACCCGCTTGAGGATAAGCTGTGAGTAAGTTCCAGCTCCACGGTGCTGGACAACAACATCACTATGGGTCACAGAGTCAAAGTTCATGCTATTTTAAAGTTATGTCATTGCAGCTGAGCACTTACATAATTTCTTAAGCTTTCTGCCAGTCATTCATTAGTGACTTTGGAAGCTTCTGAGTTAAGGCAAAAGAACTTTTGACTTACTGTGTTAATTGTTATTCCTAAAATTCGTATTAAAAGCTCAAAGTCTTCTTTCAAATGGCTTGTTGGAGTTGCAGATACATTGTGTCATTTTGAAGAATATACCAGCTGCTCTCCTTTTGGACAGCAGTCACCTTTGCACATGCTTGCCTGTGATCTCCACATGAGCTCCTTGCTGGGCGGCACACCTGGCTTTGATTTGTTTCCAGACTTGAAGTTTGGAATGTCTGTGGGGCACTGTCAGTTTTTCTTCCCAGTGTGTGCTTTAATGATTTTGAATCACATAAAAATTAGCTGTGAGTTTGAAAATGCGTGTATTATATGTAAAGTCTCATTGTAATTCCTGTGTCCTCATATACTTAATAAAATAATTTTTTAAAAAAAAGTTGCATTGGTTTCCTATCAAAGTTCATATGCATTGTGTTTCACACTCGTTCACATTGTATTTCATACAATCACTCTTCTAATTTTTTTAGAGATTATCCTTTAAATATGTTAACAGTTATGCGTTAATTGTTCTCACATAGATACTGTTTTCTAATACAGGTAGAAGACTTTCTGAATCTTTCCACACAACTGTCTGGATTTCATATTTGCATTGACAAAGGCACTTTTGATGCCATAAGCCTTAGTCCTGACAATGCAGTTGAGAAGAGGAAGCAGTATGTGAAATCTCTCTCCAGGGTATTGAAAGTCAAAGGCTTTTTTCTAATAACTTCATGTAATTGGACCAAGGAAGAGTTGCTAAATGAATTCAGTGAAGGTAAATGGCTGTATGTATGTTGTTTAAATGTGTGTTTACCTTCAGGTTTAATGCACTGAAATAGTCCTTTTCTTTTTTCCTTTGAATTACAGTGCTTCTCTTTCTGTTTTCTCTTTGCGTCTCTATTAATGGCTTTGGTAGAACACTTCACTGTATAGACAGTGCACCAAGGAATAACATTGATTGAGATCCAGAGTCATCTTCACATTTCCCCAAAAAAATCATTGCAGTAAATTACTAACATTTATAAGCCTGCAAAAACGTAGCTCTTAATTTAAGCTGTAAATCCCATTCCTGTTAATGTTGATTCCAGCCTTAGTGACCGGTAGGGTAGGAAAGAACTGCTCCACCAGCTTTAGACAGAGGTGGTCTTGATGACATGACTGCTGCGCCTTTACCTGCACAAGTGCTGGGAGGAGCAGACCACCATCCTTTTTGCTTGGCAGCTGAGTGCTTAACCTGTGCCACCAGGGCTCCTCAGGTAAGCGATGCAGTCTATTTAGAGAATAAAAAAAACAAACCCACAACATATATTGTGCTTTTAACTGTAGCATACTGATTTACTGGCACATCAGTAATAATACTAGTTTGTTGTTGTTGTTGTGTACCATAGAGTCAGAACCGACCCATAGCTAACCCTCCAGCGGGTTTTCAGAGGCAGTTAATTGCACGGAGGAGGTTGCCCATCCTTCTCCCACAGAGCAGCTGGTGGCCTCCAACCATGTGCCTTCGGAATTGTCGCGCATTTTCTTGTCATCAGGCCACAGAGCTTTCTCATAATACTAGTGAAAGTTTTTTAAAAAAGACTTATGAGAAGAGTTTTCTTTTTAGAACTAACTTACATTTTGCTTGTTTGTTTTGGGGATTTAGGATTTGCCTTTTGTACTCTTCCAACGCTGGTAGCTTTGGGAATTTGATCTATGAAGAGTTGAGCTGCTGACCCAAGGTCACACCTGTCTGGTATTTGAATCCACAGTGGGAAGGTGGACAGTGTCGTCCTGTGCAGTTTACAGCCTCCAAAACCCAGTGCAGGGTCAGCTATGGTGGGTTGGCTGCAGCTCAGTGGCATTGAGTTAGAGCTCTTGTTCTCATTGTATCCAGGGCAATTATTTTGAATGCAGTACAGAAACATGTAGAGTCCTGGTACTAAAAGTCTCAGATTTATGAGGTTTCAAAGAATTATAGCTATTTTTTGGTGTGGAGAGAGAAGGAGAGGAAGTGTATTTTATCATTAATAATATATACCACGTACAATGTTGCTATGTGTAGTTTGCTAATGTTACCATTCTCAAAGACGTTTCTAACTCCCCAAGACAAAATTTATAAAAATACTAATAATCGGGAGCTCTGGTGGCCTAGTGGCAAGAAGCTGCACTGCAATCCCAGAGGTGCATGGTTCAAATCCACCAGGTGCTTTGCTGGAGAAGGAGGGACAATCTCCTCCTGTACCAGTCAGATCTGATTTGACGGTAGCACGCACAAAAAAAATAAAAAAAACAATAACAGTAACAATAATAATAATAATATACTAATAATTGAAAGCCAATAATAATGTCACTTAAAAGAAAATATTGAGTTTACTTCAGAACTGACTTAATGCAGAGCCCCAAGTTAGGGACTCCTGGAAAAATGTCACATGTCAATTCTAAAAGAATTCTGAAAGATTTTCATTACAAGGTAGGATCTCTTTTGTTGTTCCATAGCAAAATACAATTAATATTTTGTCTGCTAAATGGGAATGTTGTGAGAACTAAACATCCGTAATCTATAGACAAAATGTTTTGAATTCTTTGGAAGACTGACTGTTCTGTGCCTGCTTTCAAGAGTATTTTCTACCACTTAATTTATTTCCTATGTAGACTTTTTTGGGAAAGTCTGTACTTCTTTCCTTTTTTTCTCCTAGAACCTTTCATTAAAAAGGAGTTCTTTTTAATGTGACTGAGTGACAGTTTCAAAGCATTAGTTTTCCTTTGAGTGATTTATCTGTGCTTTGCTTTAGGATGATCTCTAGAATCCAGTTGCTTATTTCCAATACTTCTGCCCCTCTTCTGCCGTCAGAGCTTTACATTTGGGCAAATGCTGCTCTTCTGCCTTTGGCAATTGTTACTCTTAGGAGGCCTCCTTGGTTACTTACCTGATAGACTGATTTAGTGTTTGGCAGAAAGTTGAGCCTGGGGGTGGGAGTGGTGAATATTGTTCACCAAGTTCAAAGGTGGCTAAGCGCCATTGTTTTTGGGTTCTGACAGTTTACATCAGACGAATAATACAGCATTTTTATGTTTTTGAGTTTTATTTTAGGTTCCCCCACTCTCTCCAGGGTCTTACACTGATTGCTTTACAACAGGCAGCACTTTGATCAGAGGTGATTTTGTTCTTCCGCTGTCCAGGCTGTGGAAGGAGGCTCCAGGGAGCTATTTGTCCTCTGGACTCATTGTCTTACCATGGTTTTGCTTTATTTTTCTTTATTCTAGACAGGCAGTCTTTTTCACATTACTATTTTTGTTTTCAGTGACATTAGAAGTTTTTATTATAGTAAGATACATAAAAACTGTTTCTTTTTAGAAATTCTTCTATATTTGAGTGAAAGTTTACAAACCTTATGATTTTTATGTAAACATATGTAGTTTGTTTTTTAGCACTAATCGTTGTTAAGTGACATTGAGTCAAGTACGACTCATAGCAGCCCTGTGAGCCAAGGATCTGATTCCTGTTCTGCAGCTACCATCATTTAGCTAATGTTCATAGAGTTTCCAGAGGCATGTTGTTTAGGAAGATGATGCCAGTCCTGCCTCCAATCCTCTCTTAATCTAGAAGCATTACCAAACCTGTCCATCATGGGGAGCATTTATTACAGTTGATAAGTACAAGTAATTAATTACAATATCTGATTAACCTTATTGTCTTTCCTTTCACCCACGTTATCTGCTTATTTTTACTCCCTTCTTGCTCCTCATTCTGGCATCCATTAAAATGTGTGAGTGTGTGTGTTTTTGTGTGAAGTCTGTGACATGTTTATCATGTCTTGTGCAAATATCACCTTTTTAAAATTTTTTTTTTTTTAAAGAGTGGGAATAATTTTTAGGACTTCAGAGCATTATTGTTGTTGTTGTTGTTATGTGTTGTAGAGTCACTTGCAACTCATTGCAACCCTTTGTCCAACAGCTCCGATCTCAGCTTTATCCTGAGCCAATCTTACCATCTCTGACACACACCTACACTCACTACCCCGGTCACTGAGTCAATCCATCTCATCGAGAGTGTAAATAATATGTACTAACTGGTTGGTTAAATTTTGAAGCTTAATTGTCACAACTAGTGGGAGATGAATTTGCTCGGTAGGGTAGTTCATTATATACTGTTAGGTTTTAGTGTGTTATTGTTTACCGCATGCACCTTTGTTTTCTCTTTGGTAACAAGGGAACAGGCAGTAGAAGGGAGAACTTAACATATGCTGTTTTATGTACTGTCAGTGGCTTTCCCAATAAAGTGAAACTCAAGTGTTTGGGGCCTGAAACATGAGCCCCTGGCTTCATTACTTTAGCCTCTGGAAAACCAGAATTATATGTGATTTGTTATCTTTTATTTCATGCCATTAATTTTATTATCTTCCATGTTAAATTTATTTTTTCTGGAACTTTTGTGGACACATATTAATCATCTTTCCTTCTTCCTGAAGCCTGACAGTTTTAATAAATGTTCCAAGGTACACTGTAGGGCAAGTTCCTTTCCTGGTTTTGAAATACAGGTGTTCTCTTTTACCCCTGGAACTAGACAAAAACATGTTTGTCTGTTTTTGGTAATGAGGAACAGACTTTAGCCGGTTATACCCAAAGCAAGACCACTGTTGTCGACTCTATTAAGAGGCAGAGAGACTGGAAAGGGCAGGATCGAACTGCCCCACTAGGTTTCTAAGTTTTTAGAGAACCAGATAGCCATCTCATTGTCCTGTGGAGGGACTGGTTCACACAGACCAGCTTTCCATCACTTTACGCCCTGTGCTGCTTTAAACTGGTGAAGTACTTAAAGAGGTGTCTGTGTCTGACATCTGGTAAGTAAAACTCTAACTTAGGGTCAGTTCTAGAATGTACTTCAGAACTTAAATAAGCAAAATACTACAACAGGAAACGTTGAAGAAATGATGTTTTAGGCATGAACTCCTAGAGGTGATGCAGGACGATGGGGACACACGTAGCTACACAGTGCTGCAGCAGGATGTCTGTCTGGTTTACAAGGGGCACCAGCTTTCGTGTTTGTTCTTGCACCACCTAAAGCTTGCTTGAGTCTTTTAAGGTTCCTTGTGTCTTCTCCCATTTAGAACAAGTAAGACATAAATCTAATGTCATGCACCTTGCCTTTTCCCTTGCTGGCTGTGATTATAAAACATTTGGTCTTTTCTAAAAAATTTTTTTCTTTTTTCACCTCATTGCTGACCCTGCCCCAAAACATTTGGTCTTTGCCATGCATTTTGGTAAGGATTCCTTGAATCAATTACCAAACCCTAGAATATTTTCATGTGATGTTCAAGAGACTTCTATTGCAGCTAGTCCAGATTCAGAGTGAAAAAAACCAAGCCTTCAGAAAAATACCGGTTGCCTTCCAGAATAATCATGTGTATTAAAATGATTTTTTTTTGCTTATACACTACAATTACTGTTAATATTTTGAAATGTTATCAAAATATGATGACATAATTAATTCTGTGGGTTTGGTCCAGGTTGTTAAAAATTTAGTAGACCTGGAAAAGTTACATAAACAGCTTCATTTTTATCTTGGAAATGTTGGTTATAAAATATTTGAAATGTGTGTAAAAGTCTACAAGACAATACGAATGTGTCACTGTGTGTCTACCTCTGTGATTTGATTAGCCAGCATTTAAGTGCATCGTGCTACTTTGAAGGCGTTTTGGTAATTCTTTAGGGAAACATTTTCTTATGCTCAATTTTGTCAATATTTAATTATTTGTTTAAGATTTGGTAAATTTTCATTAAGAATATAAATTA